GCGCTACAGTGCAGTACGGACTGTACTGTAGCCCTGTATGATAGATGCGATAGTCGCGTAACTGTATATTAAACCACGGGAACCGACGGCGTGGGGGGAGGGAAGCATCGGCTTGGCCAGACCCTAACCGTCGGCTAACCCGGAACGCTTACTCTAACTCGGAGACGCTCTCTCTGTTCGCGTTTTAGAGTAAAAGGACACGGGTAGCGGACGCGTACGTGCGCCTGCGAAATAGGACCCGCCTCCGCCCGTCGGTACTGGAACGTCACCCAGTACCGCGCCGGGGCGTCGAGGCGTCGATCCGCTCTACGGCATACACTAACGCATTCACGACCCGACCCGCTCTACCACCGCTACCGGCCCGTGTCCTTTCTCACGCGTTGCTTACTGGTCCTTTCTGTTCTTCTCGCGTTCTACAGGGTCTCTTACGCGGACTGAGCATACACCCCTGTCGTTGGGGTGTTTATGCTACAGTGGTCTCCCGATCTAGAAGGCCACGCGATTATCGCGAGAAGAATATCTTTCGAATCCGCGTCCGCGCGCGTCGAAATCGAAGAAAGAACCGCGAACTCGATTCAGACGGAACCGGCGAATATGGAGTCAACCGCGCGCCGCGCCTCCGAGTCAGGCGCGCTGCGCGCCCCCTTCGGCGGCGCCGCCGCAGGTCCTATCGACCTCGAACCGTCGCCTGGGTTTTCAGAAGGACGCGCTCGCGCGATGTATGACAGGATCGCGGAATACATCGAGGACGTCCGGACCTCGCTTCGAATTGACGTCTCGGACGCGATATATACGCGCTGAATGGAAGAGCTACACTCGCTTTGCGAAGGAAGGTTTGACCGCGTCTCCCAATCTTTGGAGAACCTCCGAGCACTAGTCGACCAGTTACAGAGTCGGCTAGCGCTCGTCGAGGATTCGCGCCTCGATTCCCCTGTCGAGGACAGGGAAGGCCGCCCTGAGAGGTCGGCCTAATCAAGACCACCTGACGCACAACCCTTCCCGTCTGCGAAGCAAATACACGCGTTTGCCCATATGGCCGCGGAACTCAACTCGACGCCGAGACGCGCTCGCGAGGTGGAACAGAACCCGACCAACAGGTCGCCCGGAGCCCCTACGAGGGGGCCCTGTGCCACTGTTCCCCCGATCGCGTCAGACGCGCCGGAGTTCCGACCGACTGGTGCCGGATCCAGTCGGTACGCGGATGGCCCAAGACCACTAATGGACGCGAATGTCGCGTCCGAAACCCAAGCCCTCCTGTATGTCGCCGGAGACATACGGGGGATGAGACGTGTACCGTACGCGGACGACCAGGACCGTGGAGGAGCCGCCCGCGGATCAAGAAAACCGATTCTCTCTTTCGATCCTCGCTGGGGCGGCTACCAGCCGGTGGACCTCACCGCGCATCCCGGTCCGGTCGATATCCGAACGCTGCCCGTCACCCCTTTCGGGACGTTGGGACCCGCGGCACCCGGGGTCGAGCCCGTCCATACCATTATACAGGAGTTCAGCGATGTCGCGAACTACCGCATGTATCGGTTGGACAATACGTCGAGGCTCGTTACCTCGGGAGACTCGGGACGGATCGCGAAGTACATCCAGCGCTGTCGTGGGATTCGTCCCACGATGCGTAGCTTCGACGGCACTGAAGCGATTCAGTTACTACCGTTCCTGAAGGATATACGTATCACCTTCAACGCGCAACACCTAACCGAAGGTGTTGCCGTCCGCGTCTTCGCGCATTTTCTTGAACGCGACGCGGAAAGATTGTATACGAGTTACACCATGCGCGGACTACGCGCTGGCCAGCTTCACGACGATATAAGCTGGCCCGGTCTCGTCAACCAGTTTATCAAACGCTACCTCACGGACGACGTGTTAGGTGAAGCGTATGATACGGTCGCGACCGCGCGACAGCATCCCCACGAGACGGAGAACGCGTACGCGGATCGATTGGAGTCCGCCGCGTTCCGATGCACCGCGGTGTTCACCGAACAAGCACTCGTGCATTATTTCGTGCGCGGACTAGCCCCGGCGACCCGAGCCGCCGTGGCTGAGACGGTTCAACGACTGCCCGGATCGCAGAAGACAGACCTCTCAAGCATCCGCCGTATAGCGACGGCGGAAGGTACTACGTTCCGCGCGCGTCGCGGCCTACCCCTGCCGGATCCGAAACCGGCGGGGAGAGCGGGTCGACCATCAAGGTCGACTGCGGCAAATTCACCCGCGACAGCCCTCTATATTAGAGAAGATGACTGGCAGGCCGACCCTGTCCTCATCGCGCGAGGCATGGAGCAAGGGGGAGGTCGACCTCCCACACCGGCGTCAACGCGGTCGACCGGAAGCTTCGCCACCGCGTTCGCGCATACTCCGCGCCTGCCAAGTGGTACGGACCGCACCGTGCATGAGCTGGACATTTCGCGTCAAGGAGGGGATCGCATATCGGCAAGCGTCCCCAAGTTAACCGAAGAGGAGACGCGTCACGCGGCATCTTTCGCATCCACAGACGGTAGCGCGTACGTCTGTTGGCTATGCCGTACGTACGGACATGCCATGTACGCCTGTCCATTCCTGTCGCCCGAGCAACGGATGTTCACCCCGTACAGGAATTACAAGTACCAGATGGAGACGTGTCCTGGGATGCGCAACCTCTTCCAGCAATCGGTTCGCGAGGACCGATTTCCGCGTCAAGGGTACCCGAGTCGAGCGGGTGCGGGCGCCCGCTTCGCCCCCCGCGATGGCGGGTACCGTCGTAACGAACTCGACCAACGCGGGGGACGCGACTTCCGCCAGGCGGACACGCAATATCCGCGTCAAGACGGAAGGGGAGACCGGGACCGTTCCCGACTCCCGCCGGGGGTACAAAACGCGATAATTTACCTCCAGGACTGGGCACAGGATACGCATGGCCAGCCCAGGGGGGGACGCGAAGGAGATCTGGAACCCGCGGCCCCGCAAATTCTACAACGTCCGGACGTGGTGAATCAAGGCCTCGATGTATCCGAATACTTCGACGAAGCCGCGAGACCGAGATGGACCACGCCCGCGCTCCCACTCGTCGAGGGACGCGGAGGCGCGCCAGCTGTCGGTAGCAACGCGCTTAGCTCCGATAGCTCCGGTAGCTCAAAAACGCGTAAAGACGGTTACGCTCGCGCGGTCGCGTGAGCCGTCTTGTCCATATCCCATCGACCCGTCACCGCGAGCCCGACAAGGGCACGGGGGATATTTACCGATAATATCCCCCACTCCCCCACGCGAAGACGCCGAGACTCGCGTGATTCTGGCGCAGGAAATAAGGGACGTCGTGGCTTCCGTATGCCCGACGCCCGAGAAGAAACCGCCAGAACCCCCCGTGAGCTCGAAGCTGCGGGAGGAACGCGAACCGTGCAAGGACGCGACTAGTCGTGCGGACGTCAACGAACAACAGACGTCCCGCGCCCAAGGAAGAAGGACGCGTAAACGCGGAAAGAGCCACCGCCGACGCCCCAGGCGAATCGACCTCACGAATCGGACCGCGCCGAAGGTTGTCGACGGCGTCATCTGCTTGATGACGTCGAAGATACATAATGTCCTCGGCTCGATAGCCACGGAGGACAACGCGTTCAAGCCCCACATTATCGCCGTTGATACGTGCTCGGGATACAATCTGGTGAGGAAGGCCGACCTTCCTCCCGACTGGACGCGTTACGTAATACGAGACGCGCCTCTGCCACGGCTGGCAGGCGCGAATAGCAACCCGCTCAAGCTTAGCGCGGCTGTCCGGCTGGACGTGCGGCTCCGGAACACGACGTTCCGGGTTCTGTTCGTCGTCACGGACCAGCTCGCGGTTCCAGTTCTCCTTGGGACCGCGTTCATTGGCGCGCACGTGCGTCGTATCGATGTCGACGCGCAGAAGCTCGCCCTCCGTCAAGGTGGCACCATTGCCATTGTCGACGGGAGGGGGAGCCGTCTCCCCCGACCAGACGACAAGGCCGTCAGACGAGTCGAGCTGACGTACGCGAAGAAGCCCCGCAGGCGATCCGTATTGCCCGCTGGGTTACCATCCCCGCGATGTCACAAGCTCGCGTACGCGTAACGACCTCGGGGAAGGGGCTCGTCTTCTTGGAACTCAAGCCGTCGCTTCAGCACCGCCACGGGGTGAGGTTGACCAACGGCGTGGCCGAGGTCCTACCGCACCAGACCTTCGAGGCCGTCGTCGCGATTTTTTCGCGTCGCACGAGGCGGCTACCAAAGCACACCGTCGTTGGCTACGCGAAACGAAAGCCCCTGGCGATCCTAACGCCCGAGTGCCGGTTCGCGGAGGAGATCGCGCACGCGTTGCACCTTACCGACTTGGACGACCAAGTCGGTGAGGTAGGAGCTGGCCGACCAAGCTCCGCCGAGGAGGTGATCGCGAACGCGGAGGTACGATCCGCGGAGTGCCCCCTGCCGACGGAGGGCACTGTACGCGTACCAGATAAGGATCCCAAAAATCCCGCAACGGATTGGGAAAAGGGAATGGATTTGTCATACATCACTGATGACAGGTTACGCGGACAAGCCCTCGAGATGCTACGCAAGCACTCGGGCTTGTGGGACGGTACGCTCGGAACGATCCGAGCGACGGAATACGGTATCCCCCTCGAGCCAGGCACGAAGCCCATCCGCTCGATGCCCTATCCGAAAGGGCCCGCGATGCCGAAATGGTCGCGAGAGAGGTCCACAAGATGCTGAATGCGGGAGTCATCGAACCCGCCAGCACCGAGTGGGCCTCCCCGGTAGTCCTAGTTCCAAAGAAGGACGGAACCCTTCGGTTCTGTGTGGACTACCGGCGCGTGAACGCAAAGACGCTAGCGGATTCGTATCCGCTGCCGCGTATGGACGATTGTATAGATTCGCTGGGCGACGCGGCAGTCTTCACGACGTTAGACTGCAACTCCGGCTACTGGCAGATACCAGCCGTGCCGGAGGACCGCGACAAGACGACGTTCACCACGCACATGGGGACGTTCCACCACCTACGGATGCCGTTTGGGCTGAAAGGGGCACCGGCCACCTTTCAGCGCGCGCTCGACATCATCCTCTCAGGCGTCCGTTGGCAGATCTGCCTCGTCTATTTGGATGATGTAATCGTCTTTTCGCGTACGCACGAGGAGCACGCGAAACACCTCGACACTGTCTTGAGCCTGTTGGGGAGCGCCGGCATCTCCCTCAAGCTCAAGAAGTGTAGCTTCTTTCAGCCCAAGGTCCATTACCTGGGGCACGTTATATCCCCAGGTTAGCTCAGCGTCGCGGAGACCGCGGCCGACGCGTTCGGGACGTTCACGTTCCCGAGGACGCTGACGCAGGTGCGCTCGTGCCTCGGGGCGTGCAACGTCTACCGCCGCTTCGTCAAGGGATTCGCGAAAATTGCGCGTCCGCTAACGGATATGACGCGTAAAGATGCCGACCACGACTTCGACCATCCCACCGCGTTGCAACTACACGCGTTCGAGGAGCTCAAGTCGCGGATGATCGCCCCACCTATACTCGCGCTTCCGCGGTATGGACGACCGTACATGATAGATACGGACGCGAGCGCGTATCAGCTTGGCTGCACGCTGTTGCAGGAGCACGACGGGTCCAACGACTGGCGCCCCGTCGGCTACTGGTCCTACTCGCTGAACGACAGCGAGAGGAACTACAGCGCGACTGAACGCGAGTGTTTCGCCGTAGTGTGGGCCGTCCGCACACTACGGCCGTACGTAGAAGGCACCAAGTTCACCGTCCGTACGGATCACGACGCGTTGAGGTGGCTCATGTCCCTCGCCGAAAGTTCCGGAAGACTCACGAGTTGGCGGCTACGTCTGGCTGAATACGACTTCACCATTCAGTACCGCCCCGGACGCGTGCATCAGGTTCCGGACGCGTTATCGCGTCTCATCTCGACGAGGGTCGCCGACGACCCTCGCCCAGTCGTCGAGGTGGGTGACGACATTCCCACTTTCGACGTGGGCACTACAGTATGTGACGTTTCGGACGAGCTCGTAGACCACTTCTGCACCGCGAAGTGTGACCACAAGACCGTCCAGGTGCTCGTCACCACGCGGAAGCAAACCGAGACGCAAAGAAGAACGCGTGCTCGAGCACGCGACGAGCGGAGGGGCGACGACGAAGCCCCGCCTCTAGAAGGACACCACACGTTGTGGGAGGAGACCCAAGAATTTGACGCGACCGATATCGAACGCGTAGAAGGCACCGAAGCCGACGCGTCTGACTCCCAGGTCGCCCCACCGCAGGACGACCTGCCGGCCCCTCTTACGATAGAGGAGATAGCCGAGGAGCAACGCGTTGACGACTTCTGCCAAACGGTATTGGCAAGACAGTCTGAGTCCAAGGACTCCGCGTTCTTCGAGGACCACCAAGGGGTGCTGAAGCGCAGACACCCCTTCGACCCTGACATCGTACAGGTGGTGGTGCCTCGGACCTTACGCGCTCGCTTGCTGCGGCTCTGCCACAACCCGGCCATCGCGGGACACCCGGGGCAGAACCGCATGTACCACGCGCTCCGTGGCGAATATTATTGGCCACACTTGGCTGCGGACGTCGCCTCTACCGTGCGAGGGTGCCGGACCTGCGCGATGAATCGCGTTAAGCTACGGAAACATCTCAACCGATTGAGATTGTTCCCCGCAACGCGTCCGCTGGAGAGTCTCGCGATAGACATCCTGGGACCACTCCCGAAGACCAAGGCAGGGAAGCGATTCCTCCTGGTCATAACGGACCGCTTCACGAAGCTCACACTAGTCGTCGCGCTTCGAACCATTACGGCGTATACGGTCGCGATCGCGTTCTGCGACGCGTGGGTCTTCAAGTATGGCGTGCCGCGTTCGCTAGCGAATAAATTGCGGACCGTTGTCCGATAATAGCTATTATCGGACAACGGTCCGCAATTTAACGCGAAGTTCTTCCAGAGTGTGTGCCGCGTCCTGAGGATAACGAACATATACACCTCCGCGTACCATCCCCAGACAAACGGGGAGGTTGAACGTTACAACCGCACGATCGCGTCGATGCTTCGTAACTACGTGAACGAACATCAGGATGACTGGTACGTGTACGTGGGACCGTTGACTTACGCGTACAAATCCCACGGACACCGAACCACGCGTACGACACCTTTCGAGCTCGAGCTTAGCAGACCCCCTCCGGAGTTCTCTCTCCGCAGAGCCGACGGGGACGCACCCCCGCCGGATAGGGGAACGCAGCGGGCAGAGTTCCTCAAGACACTCGACGCGACAATACAGAAGGCCTACGGAAGCCTGCGTCGAACGCAGGCCCGTTACAAACGCGACCTCGATAAACGCGTTCAGAGGATCAACGCGCGCCTCAAGCCCGGCGATTACGCGTATCTCAACCCCACCGACGGGGCAAAGACGTCGAATAAGCTCGCGTCACCGGCCGTTGGAGCATACAGCATCTTGGCCAACGACCGACGCACGATCACAATCGATCGTGATGGGGTGACCGAGCGCGTCTCCGCAGACCGCTGCGTGTATGCGCCTCCCCCTACAAGCGCGCCACGCCCAAGTACTACCACCCCGGGTGACCTTGCAAACAAGGTCACCGAGGGCACACAGTACGCCGTCGAACGGCTGCTAAAACATCGCGTGATGGGAGACGGAACGACCGAGTTCCTCATCAAGTGGGCGGACTACGATACGCCCGCCTGGACCGCGAGAACTCACGTGCCGGAGGAGTTAGTGTCGCGCTACGCTAAACGAATCCGGACGCGTACAGGGAGGGACCTCTCCTCGGAAGTCAACGCGGACGTTCACTCTTGAGGAGGGGGCCCTCAACCCCCTCGTCACCGCAAAATTAATGACTCGCGGCTAGAGACAGATTACGCCTACAGAAGGTCAAATGTGCCCATACGAAGGGGCGGCAAAGGAAATCGCGAAATGTCAAGACGTATTGACCATCAAGTATCGCGGACGCGACCCACCGGCGGTAACTGAACTAGGAGGAAAATACAGCACGTACGGCCTTACGAAAATTGGTCGTAGAGCAACCAGCAGGACAAGGAAGTTAAAGACCTCCGAAGGAACGCGGAAGCAGCAGATAGCACTCGCGAGTACAGTGCTCGACTCGAAAAGGGGAGAGGACTTCAAGACGGGTTGACAGTCTAAGCCCACTCACGCGACACACCAACACCCAGTAGCACGAACGGCTGGGAACGAAACGTCTCGCGTAGTTGCCGTCGTGATCTAGGAGAGCGTCGTCGCCGCCCTAGTCGGGAAATGGCCCGATCGGTCGCGGCCAGTATCACGCGTGGGGGGGACTCACGAGCTCGCGGTAGCAGATGCCCGACAACGCGCAGACGAGAAGAGGTGGGCATACAAAAATTGACGCCGCTGCGACCCCACTGTACTATGCGGGAAGGGCGCCGTCGCGCGCCGCCAACCCCACTGTTAGTCTGTTACCACAAACCAAAAACAATTGAGGGCGATGCTCCAAAAATATGTGGGAAACACAGACCGAATGACACTGTATGCCAAGTCACTGCCGCTATTGGCTAGGCGGCAAACCGCCACCACCCCGGAAATAATCAAGAAAGAAAGAAATGCACAGTGAAGCAACGTGCACGTGCGCACGTGCCCCTACGACCGACAGGACAGGTCGGAGGAACAACACGCAATCGGACAGCTAAAAGCAGCGTGTGGAGCGCGTGCCCTTCGATGGGGCACGCCCCATATTGTATGGTAGGAGGTGCGGATAAGAGCGTCGACACCGACCTCCCCCGGCCCCAACGCGCGTTGGAGGGCGCGGGCGAACAACAACGAGGATTTAGAGATTCGCCGCACGTGCTCGAACGCGCTGAGAGCGTACACACGAAGACGCCGCCGTCACCACGCTACAGAGCGCGGACGCGCCGCCGCAGGGAGCCATCGCCGCCGCGCGCTGTCACGCAGCTTTGCGGCGGCTCCGTCCCCCACCGCCTCGACAGGGGCGACCCCGCGACACACCGCCGCCTCGGGCGAAGAGGCGGTAGAACGGGGATCACCGCGAGTACGCACTCGTCGCTTGCACACCGGATTGGGGAAGAGAGGACGCCCAGCGCGCGCTCGGCGGACGCGACACGAAGAGCACACGAAACGCGAAGACGTCGCGTAGGAGCGTGCCTTCAGCACCGCGCTCGGACGAGCTGGGCGCGTAGCGAATAGTTCGCGACAACGCGCGGGGTCGTGCTCGTCCTCGACCGGGACCCGCGGTAACGGCACCGGAGGAGGGGTATGACGGACCGCTCACCCGACGCTCCGACACTTCCCCCTTTACGATCGACTCGACAACGCGATGAGCGGGCGGCAGGCCCGGCAGCCGGCTACCAGAAGGAAAAGGAAACGCGCACGCGACGGCGAAACGCGCATTCAAGGGACCACCGCAAAAGCCCTCACCCCTGGGTGTCAGAGACCCGCCGGTAGCGGGCTCTGATTTAATAACGCGTACGACGGCCAGGCGGACGTAGTGAGGGACGTGGCGCGCCATCACCACCCGCGACTCGCGTATGAAGAGAAGGCCGGACACCCGCGAGCGCAACGTGTCGAGAACAAGCGGCGGGCCCGACGACGGGACTGTACGCGGAAATCGCGTACCGGTGCGGGGACGAGAAAGGACGGCCGCGATGCGCTAGCCGCCGTGCGCAGTCACCGCAAGCGACGCATGTTGACCCGATACGCACGCGGCTGCGTACCGCGAGAAAGGGAGTCGCGCGGAGGTCGCGACACGATGGTGGTTAACTAGAAAGGAGGTCTAGGAACCCAGGGACGGTCGCTAATGGGTCCGATACGGGCGGACCAATTTAATGCTATCACGCGGTGACGCGAGGTAATACGCGAGTTCAACGGGATGCGTCTCCCGTCCGATCGGTCGAAGCCGGAGCACGGTCCCCCGCGGGGCAATAAGTGGGGTACGGAGGGACCCCCGAGTCAAGTTCGTCTAAGCTTGGCATCGCGACCGCGGGGTACGGGACAGCCCCACGCGACGGCTCAGCGGGCACCCCCGAGTCATACGGCGCACGGACATCGTAACGCAAATGCGCGTACGGATCGCGAACCCCCGACCGCCGGGGTGTAGCCTGGAGGTCAGTTCTTCCGCGGTTCTCCGTAGGCGCGGTGACCCGAGCCACCCGCAGAACGTCGCGTTCCTGCCGGTATCGATCGCGGTCGAACAATGCGCGCTCGAGCTCACCCGCCTGCTGCGAGGAAGCCTGGCGGATAGTCGCCAGTTTGCGTTCGGCTACGTGCAACGCCGACAAATGGGAATCGCGTTCCTTACCGATCCGACGCGCCTCGTCGCTGCGACAAAGGTGCCAATTCGCGAGGGTGCCTAGGAGGGCCCCCACCTGCCAAGCACGATCCGAGGATCCCCCGAGCACCAGCGTCAAACCGGGAACCTCCCGAACGTCCTCCCTCGACAACGTAAGGATACGCACAGCTGACCCGTGCATTTGACGCGAAACGGGCGCGTCCAGAGGAGGGACAGGGATCAACGCCGATGCCAGGGAGGGTTCGGAAACCCCCTCCCGTTCGCGCATGCGGTCGGGCAGTAGCCCGTGAGTCGGCGACGAGACCAAAAAAACGGGCGCAGGGACCATAGCATCTAAGTCGCGATAACGCTTCCGGCGCCCCTTCCGCGCTTCGGAACCGACGCCACCGCGTTTCCCTGAGGGCAGCCCCGTCGAGGGGCTAGCCACGGGACGGGACAAGAACGCGTCCCCTCGCGTATCATACGCGAGAAACGCACTCCGGGTGCCCGTGGCAAAATCCATCCACGAGTGGTGGTGCCGTTCGCTCACTTCGGAGGCGCGCACCATCAGGTCCACGACCGCCCCGAAGGACCAAGGCAGGTGAGGCGAATGGTGCTCGTGAAGATGGAGAGAGGCGTTCGGCAGCCCCGGGGCCAGCCGCTCTACCCACGCGATCGTCTGGCAAGGCTGTAGGAATACGCGTTCGCTGATGCTCACCTCGGTCATATACGCGCTGCATAGCGACCAAGCCCACTCCCGCTCGTAGTTGTACACAAAGCGCGAGTGGGCTGGGTGAGACGAATCCGCGCACGCGAATCCGAAGTGCTTAAGCACAGGTGGAAGAAGTGGATGGACTCCCAAGGACGGGAAGGAGTCTCGGATTGACGGTGGTAACTCCGGGAAGTCGTGCACGGATAGGCCGCGTTCAAACGAGGCGGATAAGAAGACGCGGCCGTCCTTTTCCGCGGCGGCGCGATACGCAGACCAATCGAAGTGGGCTACGGCCACCTAGTGCAGCCGCATAAGGGAACACGCGGACTTCTGCAGCGCGACGAGGGGCTTCGAATAAGCGTACGGACGAGGGCATACGTAGAGCCCCTTGACTTCGGGCAGAACGAATCGATTCGGATCGCCCGGTTCGCCCCCGAAGGGGTGGACAGCCATCCGGTCAACGTACTCGGCTTCATCTGCGCTATACGCGAACGTGCGGTCACCCGGAATGCCATCGGGTATCTGGTACGCGACCCCACCGCCTTCCGCGAGAAGTCGCCGGAGGGCGAAGGATGCCTCATCCACGAGGCCGGCCTCGTGGATCCTCCGGGCACGCACCAGATCGGGACGTAAGCTCGCCCGCGAAAGCAGCTCGGCCACGGTGATCCCTGACCGCGCGTGCCGCTGCCACGCGTACTGTAGACGGTGGAGAGGAAGCGGCGTGGACCGCTCCATAACAGACCCGAATCACAGGGTGGGAGCCGCCGACGACCCCGGGCACCGGCAACTGCCGCATGCCGCGTGGGAACCAGAGCGGGGCTGGTACGTCAACCAAGCACCCTCGCGTCGAGACGCAAGGTCGGTAGACGGGTTACCAAGGACCGTGGCGTTCGGATCGCCCGACGGCTCGTGGACCTCCGCCGTCGCCGGTCGCGGCAGCCCTGCTCCGGGGAGCATGGGGGTTTCGGTCTCACCAGAGGCCGGAGGCGCATTCAGTTCGGCAGAGACAGTGGAGCCCCTGGAGGGGCGCGAGGCCTGGAAGGGCCCCGGAACCGAAGCATCTGCGGGCGGCGCCTCCGGCGGCGAGGCGGACGGGTTGCCTCCAACGGGAGAGGCCGACGCCAGGGTCATGGCAGAAAAAGACCGGGCCCAAGGAGAAGAGGAGCGCGAGGAGGACAACCGCCTCGGTTGCGGTGAGGACAAGGCGTTCGCGCTGAGCGCGGAAAGGGGCGACGACAAGCCAGTCGGAGAGGACGAGAACTGTGCGCGGGCTTGGGCGGCGACGGTACACAAGGGAGCGTGATGAGGCGAGACAGTTAGGAGGGCCCCCTCTTCAAGCCCAGCGTGAACGGGGACGTTCACTCTTGAGGAGGGGGCCGTGTAGCATCAGCGCGGATCAGAATTAGATTTAGAAATAGATCGCGCGCGCGCACACACGTGTACTGTCAGGACGCCCGCACACACGTGTACTGTCAGTACTGTCAGGACGCCGGCACACACGTGTATCATCGGCGCGCGCGAGCACACGTGTATTGACAGCGCTACAGTAGCTGAATACGGTAGCTCAGCACTGTAACGCGCTACAGTGCAGTACGGACTGTACTGTAGCCCTGTATGATAGACGCAATAGACGCGTAACTGTATGTTAAACCACGGGAACCGACGGCGTGGGGGGGAGGCAAGCATCGGCTTGGCCAGACCCTCACCATCGGCTAACCCGGAACGCTTACTCTAACTCGGAGACGCTCTCTCTGTTCGCGTTTTAGAGTAAAAGGACACGGGTAGCGGACGCGTACGTGCGCGTGCGAGCTAGGATCCGCCTCCGCC